AATTCTCATTTTTTTTTATTGTTGCCACAGAAGATAGGCTGTTTTTAAAAGTCTGAAAGATTAGAAAATGGAGAGTTTGTGAAACAGGCTTATCAAAGGTGAGCTTCATGCTGGTATTAAAGCAGTAGGTGAGCAGTAGGTGAGCAGTAGGTAAGTAATTTTTCCTCAATTTGCATTCAGATTTAGAGTAATTGTTCTCAAATTGTATTCAGATTAGAGGTTGCCTTATTTTTTACAGGTATATTACTGCAATGAAGGATACTGCCTCCCTTCCTTCCTTGAAGTCTGATCCCAGTTGAGTCACTTAAAATATCTTCTGAAAATTTTGAAGCACAGCTTGCAAAGCAAACCCTGTGATGAGGTGGCATCCATTTGTATCACAGTGAACTTTAATTCTACATTAAACTAACAGATTGTCGACATTTCTTGTCTGTACATATGGCTGCAATTTAAATTGTGTTTTCAACAAAGTACTGGGTTTTTCATTATGTTTTCCATTTTAAAAATTAATTTTTTCCAGATATCAGAAAGCAGGGGACTGGTGGGCAGAAAGAATTCTATGCCCAAAATCTGGCTTGAATTTTTGGATGCCAATTCCTTATGGTGGTGTGTTTGCCATGTGGACAAAGCCTTTATTGCCTAATCTGCAACCCTGCACAGTAAGAAGTGAGTATTCAGAGTACCGATAATCAGTATCAACAATCTCAATAATTGGTACTGGCAGCAATCGAGGATTTTCATAAAATACAATACTAAAGCACTATAGCACGACTTTTTGTTTCATATACAGCTCTGACCTTAGAACACAATATTAAACATTTGATACATGGCAGAATTCTCAATAGATATTATATGCTTAATCTTGCAAATTGTTTTCAAGGAGGTAGCAGAAGATACATGGATTTACAGCTACTCAGCAGGATGCAGACTGTGCAGAGAAGGCAGCTGCAGAATATGAAGATTGCATAAACTGGCCTGTAATTTTTAATCCAGACAAGACTTCTGTTTAGTTAAATCCTTAAAAGAGAGCAAGCAAGTGATAAATGTTTGAAGGAGACAAATTTTGCTTGTAGTCTTGTACTAGCACTCAGTATATTCCTTTGGCTCCTAGAAACATGCAAATTTTGCACTGTTTTCTAAAAATTTTATTATAATCTGACTGTTAGCACAGAATGGAGAACTAATTCCCCAATGCTTGTGTTGCATAACTTCTATTTCAGCACATCCTTTTGATAGTGATCTGCAGTTTAGTAACACATTATCTCTTGTCCATGCAAAATTATTTCCAGGACAGCTTGCAGGACTTATTTCTAATGTAATTCTAAATTGTGTCTCCAATTTACTACTGTTTATTTTCATGCTTTTACAATTAAAAATATAATGCCCATTAAAAGAAAAAAAAAATCTAGCTAAAGCCTAATAAGGTCTTGATGATTCAGCTTCAGTTATTGAAAGCTGCTAAGCACCATCCCTGAAGTCAACTTCCACCTTAAGTAGTTTTAAGTCCATTTTGCTTGTTTCCTTCTTTATCACAGTTCTTCTGACATACACATCAGTTACCTTTGCACAAACTGAGTGGATTTTATAAAAAGCAAACCTCCAACCAAGAAAACTCCTGGGTCACAGATGTCCTTTGGTTATTTTACTGTTTCATTTTTTAACAGAAATAAACAAATGCTGAAAACTGGGCTTTGAGAACTGGGCTTTGGTTGTTAACGAAAAGGAGTTGTAAAAGTATAAATTACAATCCACATTTTTATTCAGCCAATAATCAACATATATCAGTATTCAGATAATCAACATATATCAGTATTCATATATCAGTATTCAGTATTTCATTTACTTTCCTTTTGCCATGAAAAATTTAAGCAAAGATCTTCCTGAATCAGCTGAACAAATCAGCAATATCCCTGTATCAGAGGTTTTGTTAAATACAAGGTTTTTTATAAGCCAGAGTATGGTGCAACATATAAGTTCTTGTTCCAAAACAATTTTCACATTTGCCAAGTAACTACTATGTGAGAATAAGTCAAAGTTTGTCTATGGAAGTGAGAGAAGAGGAAAATGTGCTGCAGATCAATAAATGGAATAGATTAGACTTGGTATGTAAGTTTTAAATACTTTCCCTGAAATTTCTAATTACTGGCCAGACAATGTTTCCAAATGCAAGCTAATAGTTGATTTTTTTTTTAATATCCCAAATATTGTACTTTACCATTGTTATCACTAACCTTATAATTTCTGAAACCTCTCACTTTTTTCAATGATCTTACCAAATACAGCTATAGTTCTTAGGAAGCAATGTAATCTAGCATATTATAATGCTAAGACAAATACTGAAGCATGGAAACCCTTAAAGGACTGTTTTGTTTGCTTGGTCAGTTCCTCTAAATTCTGCTTCTTTCTCACCTCCCTTCTGCCACTCTTCATCTTGCCTTTGCTTTTCTCTTTGCTGTTCCATTCTCCTACTGTTTCCTTGGTGGCTTCTGTATCTTATACCATGAGTATAGGAAAAAACAGCTTCCTTAGCAGAAGTTTGATAATTGTTTTCTTTCAACTCAGCATTAAGTGTGGATGTACCATTAGTAGATGACAAGAGCTGAGATGAAACCCTGCAAAGATGTTCATCATGTCTTCTGACTGCTCACCAAAGTTAACCTGTTGGAAAAGATCGAAGCCAGTCTTATATAGGACTAAAGACCAAGTCACTCAAAACAAACTATCTCCATCAGAACCTCCACAGTTTCCATTTAGCAAGAGCTGACAAAGCTACAGCTATGTTCTAGATAGGTCTGCCTTAGCAGATCCATTTGTGCCAGCCCCCAGTGTTTAGTCATGTTTCCACCAACCAATCCATGTTGATTCCAGGTGGATAAAATCTGTCTTACCAACAGGTGCTGCATACCCAACCGCTAAAAAAAGTGAATATAAAGTTTTCTTTTCACCCATTCCAGGGAGAGCTAACTATAAACCAGTCCTTTCATATCTTTTGGCAGTTGACTCTCCTCTCTCCTCTGCCTCTCCTTCTCTTTCCCTTCTCTCTCCTTTCCTTTCCCTCACCCTCCCACACTACCAAGAGATAACTCTCTTCAGTCCTAACTGGTTCAGATAAAACAGCTTTCAAGTGCCAGCCAGTTTTTTCCTGTTAAAAGCTGAAGCTCATCTACCATTCCTAAACAGCTTTATCTGAATTGGATTCTCTCTCTGAATCCCATAATTCTGTGCATTTTGGCAGGCTGGCAGATTAACAAGCACAGGGGATTCAATCTCTCCTCATAGCACATTGCATTGTGAGTACTCCTGAACACACAGCAAAGGGCCTAATGAAACAGCCCTGTTCAAGTCTTTTGCTATTAGCTGTATTTACTGGGAGTTTTTATGAAAGAAAATTTTATTCTGAAGGTCATTGTACTGGTATTGGAAAACATTTTTATGAATGAGGTCCTTTATGTCTAATTTAATAAACTACAAAATTAGAATTTAGCAGCAATTTTAATTGAGCAGTGATTTTATTTAACATTAACACAATCAAGTAAGAATGTACAAAGTAAATTTGGAAGTGATTAATTAAGTCTGATTAAGGTTCTGATAAGGCATAAGCAAAACCGATCAGGATTGGGGTACGGGGAGGGGAGGGCTTTTCACCCTGCCTCATGTACAAAAAACAAAGAATCCAAGCACAACTTATATACTGTATGCGAATACATATTCATCAGTACTTTCTATAAATCTCCTCCTGTTTTCAATTCTTGAAATCTACATCCCTGTACTGCACAGTGCATGCTCCACTTGCTGCTAAGGGGTCTTCTTGACTTTCCAGTAGTTGCTTCCAACCATGGCTTCTCATCATCCTCACTGTCCTTTGAACAACTCCACAGGCTGTACATGCACCCCAAGTCTTGTTTTATAGAAGCCAGCATTATATTTCAAAAACGTCTTATTATTTCACAGATACCTAGAATCATCCCAGTTTTGCCAATTTCAAGGCTAATTCCTTAATCATCCTGAGGCCTATTCTGTTTTGGGATTTTACTTATTTGAAATTACATCCAGTATCGTATTTTCTCATGAACATCTGAAAAATCTGTTTTGTGACTCTAACTACATCTTGTTTTCCTCTATTACTTTTTAACAAATATTTTCTAAAATATTGATATAGTTACAACTGTTAGCATGAACCATATTCATTTGTCACAATATGAATGGAAGCATGAACATGTCTAGTGCTGGAAAATCAACGCACAGGGCATTTACGCTGCATAAACTCTTACAGCTCTGACAACATGGTGAGCTAAGATGATGTAAAGGCTTTTTTGCAGCAGTTTTTTTGCATCATTGATACAAACCTCTTACACAACTCAACCTCTGCGTTAGCTGGAGCTGACAAGAAGCAGGAAGTACCCTACCCCCAAGTTATTCTTTCACAGTATGCCACCTTGCTAGAATCCACTTTGCACTGTCAGAATTCAGTTATTACAGAGCAACAAACAGAAATGCATATAATGCACATATATAAACATATATACACATATGAGTGGGTTTACTAGGTAAGCACACACGTATACAGAAAGAAAAGTGTGAACAATTTCATTGAGCCATAATCAAAAACCTGAGTTTTTGCTAGAACTTGTGCTCACTGGGCACTGCTGCACAAGCTGGGAGATTTAGAAAACGGGATGCAAAAGAGTCGAAGCTTCCACACAGTATAACCCAGCTGTCCTGGAGCCAGTGACCCTGGAAGCTGGGTTCTCCAGATCACCAGCCAAAAGGCAGGGGCAGACAGGCTCAGCTCGAAGCCCCGCCGGAATCGTTTGCCACCTGGTCCTAGCCTGGTGGTAGGCAGATTTTGCTTTCTGCCCCTTTGGGCCAAGAGGCAGCCCGGCCCCGCGCCCCAGCCGCCCCGCCGCCCGGGGTCTGCGGGGCGGCGCGGCCGCGCTCCAGCGAGCCGGCGGAGCGCGCCCCCGCCCGCCGGCGCGGCCTCGTGCTGAGGGCAGCGGCCGAGGCAGCAGCGCCTTCCCGGCGGGGTCTTTCTGGCCTGTTTTTTTACTTTCGTCCCAGTGAATTTGGAGCAGCTTTGCTTTGCATTTGACCCCCGTCGCTGTTGGAGTGGCCGGCTGTCCCGCAGAGCCGCCCCGGCCCGCTTGGGGCTTCCTCAGGTGTTGCAGCCCGCGGGGCGCGGATCCGGCCGGAGGAGCGGCGGGAGCGGCACCATGCCTGCCAGCTTCTCCGGGCGCTGCCTGGTGTGCCTGCTGCTGCTGCTCTGCACCAGCTTCTCGGGCGGGAACCCTGCAGGTAAATGGAAACTCTGCCCGGGCTGGGCCTCCTCCGCCCTCCGTGTCGGGCGGACCGGAGCGAGGTGGACGGGAGCGCCGCCTGAGAGCAAAGGTCCTCTCTGCTCCGCAGCATCCCCCCGGCTCTGGGGGGCACGTAGCGCTGCCCCGGCACGGCAGCTGCCTCTCGGCCTTGCCCGTGGGAGCGGCTGCGGGTGTCTTTTCCTGCGTGCGCCGCCGTGTGCCTGAGAGCTCGGGTGGGACGGCGGAGTCCGCTCTGGCTGTCCGCAGCACCGCCGTGCTGGGCGGCCGCGGGCGGGCAGAGCTACACCAGCTGTCCCGTAGCCTCAGCACATTCTCCCTCATTTAGAGAAGGGGTTTATCAGCTCACACATGCACGTTGCGGAAGGTTTGGTGGTGGGTCTTGTTTATGTCCTGTCCTTACTGAGTAAAGTGTTTCAATGCTGGAAAAAACCCGCAAAACAACCAACTCACCCCCCTTTCACAGATTGATAGATTACATTACTAAGATAGCAGTATGCCTAATGGATTATGAGGGATGGTCCTTTGGATTTGGTTTTGTGTTTGTAAATGTAGCATTTAAAATCCATGAAGAAAGAGGGACTTGAGCTTTCTGGGCACCGTTCGCCTCTAGAGGCTTTCAGCAGTTCAGGAGCACGCCAGCTGTTTCTCAGGAAACACGATCTTATTTCTCATGCAACTAGTGTTTTTTTTCTTCTTTTTGAGCATTGCAAGTTAGTAGAGAATGATTATAGTAGGAGTTACCAGATTCTGGTGTTTGCTGTGCAGGGTGAGATTCTTGGAGAAGATCTTTCCAAGGCCAAGGGTTCTGTCCAGTGTACGTGTGCATATATATATTTGTACGTGAACATCAGTGCTGTGAATTAAATTCACTGAGGTTTAGCTCTATTTTCAGTGTGTGAAATACAAGCAGTTGTGTTTTCTTCTGCCTCTGTTGCATTTCTAGACCAAGAAGATCACTACTGCTCCCTAGGTGATGGTACCTTCTGTAAAATTTCTAGTAGTTTCATACAATGTGAAAGGAAATAACACTTTGCACTTCTCAAGTCTTGTTTGAAATGCATATTTAAGTATGTACACAGACCAAAATCTACTTAGTAGTTCTTAAGTAGTCTTTAAAATACGTGTGTATTTATGTACACACAGAACTTGAAATCCTTTCTAGCGATTTACTTAATTGAGGAGTTTGAGTGCAGATGGTCTGATATTTGTAGGAATGTGTGTCAGCATGTGGCTAATTGCCATAAGATAGTTATTTTTGATAGCTGTTAGTTCCAAAAACCATACCTGATGGTGGCTGAAGCAGTTTTAAGTTTATGTAAAGCCATTGGTAAAATGATAGCCTCTCATGGGAAGAAACAAAACAAACAAGTGAATCAAACAGCAAAACCTTCATTGTGTTTCCAAAAATTGCAGAAATCTGCCATCTTCCTAAACTGGTGGGTATTGTGTGGTTTAGAGCAGATGTCAGAAATAAGCTTTAGTGCTTTTCATCTGTATAGGAGTGAAGGTGTTGTTTTCCAGACTTCAATTAAATGTTTTTACAGCTGTATGAACTAGATAGGGTGGCATCATACTGTGACTTCTGTGATGATTTAAATGAAAAAATTGTAGTTTACTCTTTCATTGGTTATTAACTAAATGTGCATAAAGCTAGTTGAGCAGAGGAACTATCTATGCAGCTGAAGCAAAGGGGAAGTTCATGTCACCTGAAGGGAGAAGAGCTTGAAGTTGTTTTCCAGTGAAGTCCAGAAACTGTTTTGGAGATGTGAGGGTGCTTCAACCAAAAGAAATGCTTGCAGTAGAAGTGAGCAGAGAGAGAGAACTTCCACACAAGGTTGTATGCTGCAGAAAGGTGGATTGCACAGTCTGCAGGCTGGTCAGGCACATGCCCCAAAAGCCTTATTAGATATTTATTTTGAGATTATATCTTGAAGAAGATATCTATTTTGTTATTCTTATCATAGTCATGTAACTGTTTAGTTACTTGTTTTGGAAAAATATAAACTATTGCTTTTATTTTGCATTGAGTTAAGGGTAATTTGTAGCTGTCAGAACACTGTTGTTCAGAGCTTGATGCTTTGTTTGGGTTACCTTTGCGATTGTATTAATTTAGTTGAAGCAAATGCTGCCAGATTGATTTAGGAAAAACAGTCCCGCCACATCTCATATCTCACTTTCTGCTCCTGAAGAATTCAAGGAGCTCTGAGTGTAGAACACACCTCATTCCTTACAGACTTCGCTTCCAAGTTGGGTTTTTCTGGTTTGACCTGAGGGAACAGACTTTATCAGGGTACTTGGAAGGCTTTAATGTTGATTCTCTGATGTCTCTGCAGCATTGGGACCTTCTGATGGCTGGTTTTGGATACTACTGAATGCATGTGAACTTAAAAAGTATATGGTATTAAATTAAACAGTAAAATAAAGGTGTTAAATTAAAACCAAAATGTATTTCAGCCATTTCTTCCTCAGCTGCTTTTCTGGCTGAAAGAGAGCAAGTAGATTTTTAAGCCTGAAATTACTCTGGTAATAATAAGCATGGTACATCCATACTTTCTTAACCCAAAATACTGACTGCTATATGAAGCAGAAGTAATGTAGAAAACAAAATTGATTATATCATACTCTTGCCTATTCCTTGCTGCATGAAAATCAAGGAAATGAGATCTCTACATGCTGCCACACTATTGATTAAATCTAATGCAAAACAATTATAGGCTCAGGCATGCAGCTGAGACTCAGTAGTTCGAAGTTACTCCATGCGACTTGCTAACATCCTTGCCTGGCTGGATGACACTAATGGTGCAACGCTGGCCCATCTTGACCTCCAGTGCTACTCCGCAAGTATATATGAGAGGAAGAGTGGTGCAGTTTTCCCTCTGTTCTTTATACTTTGATGTATGGACAGGTAAGGTGAAAGAGCTAGAAGCAGGGGTAACAAAAAATAACACTACTTCTTTCACTTATTATATTAATCAAGGAAGAAAGCCAAGATGAGAACCCTATTAGTATGCAAACCACATTGCAGGTTATTTGCCTTCATTGCAGAGAGATAACAGAGCTGTTTGGCTGTTTTATCATCTTCGGGAATTTTAATTAATGTGCAGGTGATCCATGACATACTTAGAATGCCTCAAGATGCTGCAGATACAAAAATTCACTGAGATCTTTCTTCAGTTGTACTATGAATATCAGAAAAATAATAGCTCTCTCTGCTAAGTACCTCTGTCAGGCAAAGAATAAAATTGTCTTTTTACTGTCTGGCTCATAGAACAGCAGATCTTTTAAAGTTCTTTTCTAAACTGGAGGGCTGGGAGGGAGCAGCTGGCTGTGGGACCAGCGGACTGATAAAAGTGGGCTGCTGTTAAGAACTACTAATGCTTAATTCTTTTAATGTTTTTTGACTACTGTGTTTTACTCTTGGTCCAAACTAGTTGAAGTATGATGGGCAGATAAGAGACAGCAAATGGTGTAAGCCAGGCAAGGCTGTGATGGAGTAATTGTGTGCTGGAGGTGCAGGGGAGGCTGTCTGCTTATTGGTGCTGAAATGGGGTAGGAGTGTTAGTATTGTAGGAAATGGCAGAGTGCTGACTTCACCTTCTGCAAAAGACGTGTGGTTCTCAAGTCTGAATTTGAAGCAATGTGATGCAGCATTTCACTATTCACTGAAGAGTTTGACTGGATCCTTGTGGGCCCCTTCCAATTTAGAATATTCTGTGATTTTGGGATCTCTGTGTGTTTGTTGCTGTTTTGGATGTCCAGAAGAGTTCATGATCCCAATTCCACCCCCTTGCCAATATTTTAATTACAAATGCAAAATCCATGTCTTTTCCTTGTGTGACTGAATCACTTTCTCTGATTGCTATGGCACTAGAATATATCCTGCAATATCTTTGTCCATAAAGATAGTACAAAATAAACGCTAACTCCGTCGCCCAAAGGTAGAAATACAGGAATGAAGATGCACTTCCATTCTTCTAAACCATCTAGATATCTTGATTTTCTTAAAAGAGTGACACAACTACTAAAAAAGTCCTTTGCCTCTTCTGTTGCTGTTCTTTTTCCAGTCAAGAACGTAAAGCAGATAGTCTTAAATGGTTCTTGTGAAAACTGTATCGTAGGAGGAGGATCAGATTTGCAATGGTACTGAGGAAAATTGGAAATAATGGTTAGTATTAGATGCTGGAGTTACTGTTTGATACAGATGTCTTTTCTTTTGTTTACTGAGGTGCTGGTAGAATCAAAGGAGGTATGTTCATTGCTTGTTCATCACACTAGATTTGTAAGGTTTTAATGAAGTCCATACTCTATTGGAAAATCTGCTAATCTGTATTAAAAGTAATCAACCAATGTCAGTGGTGTGAGTGGTGTTTTAAAACAGGATGTGAATACATCTTAAAAAGTTGTTGGAACTTTCTGAGGAGTGTCTTTGCCACTCTTAACTGCATAAGCTAACTTCAAGAAAAGAACACTATAAAGAAATTAGAGAGCAAATATTGCCTCCATTCTTTAATCTTCTCATGCATAAAGTGAGCTAAACAACTAAAAAAAACAATTCTTGTGCATTTTTAAATTTTTTAACTTGGGGAAAAAACACAGGAGAAAGGCTGAGATGAGGATATTCTGGTAGAAGTATTTTTGTGAATTATCTTTTTCTAACTCAGTTTCTTTAAACTTTTTCTGTTGTTTTGTTGTTTTTGTTTTTTTTTTTTAGATCCAGCTATGACAACACAAGATTCCAATCAGACTCAGGTCAATTCCGTAACTAAGATGCAACCTGGACATGACTCATCTGGTAATTGTTTTATTTCAGTACAGTCAAAACTCTAGTCCTTTTTCCTATGAATTTTCGTTTATCGTATTGAGTCAGCATTTTCACACTTAAGTCTCTTGAAATAAGATTGTGACTTTTTGGAAGAAACAGAAGCAGATACAGCACCTAGGTCTTTTAAAGCCACTGCAAGAGCTTAAGTGTCATAAGTATCTCCAGAACTGGAAAAAGCTATGCAACTGCCAGTTTCATGTCCTGTTGCCCTTAGGCATATATGGCTTAAAAGCAGGCAATGACTCTGGAGGTCAGGCAATGCCCAGCTAGTGCCACTGCAGAGTGGTTGTATTATAGCTTTAAGCCATGATAATTTTTAATGAGAGCTCCTTATGCCTGTGTGTTAGTGAAAGGTATAAAAATGCTCTTGCATCATGTTCCTGCTAGCTTCATCTTTCTTAATTATGTCTGTGTCAAAATTCTCTGTTATCCCTTATACCTTAATGGTATTTTTAACAGGGAGCTGAGAATAAGTTCCAGACAGGACAGGAAACCAATGATTGTTGCTTCTACTTCTCCTTTGTCCATAAAGATCAGAGAATCAGAATTTCAGTACTGTCCAAAAGCTCATGTTGATTCGTGCAAGTCAAACATGAGCTAAGTTACAGTTCTATGTGAACTCAATCAATTTCTGGCAAGTTATTTCACCTACAGTTGGGGTTTTATGGTATTTATCTGGTGTTCATCTTTGGAGCTTTTTAGCACAATGTGAGAACTAGGAGTGCAATAGCTAATAGATTCAGTAACTTTTTACATACATAGACACATGTAGACATGCATGAAATACAGAAAATGTTGCATGTAGTATGACCTCATCTGAATATTTTCATTTGATAGGTGACTTGAGAAAGAAGGTCAGTTTGAAAACCCTGTTTGTTGGAAGACACTTTAAAGGCTGTCTAATTTTTCCTGGCTGGATCTACCATATGAACTAGCACTGGTGCCTTCTGAATGCATTGGTGCAAGGGCTTTTGGTGAAAAATCAGGTGATGTGTGTACTGCAGTGGCATAAACTTAGCTCATCTGTGACAACCCTGACATACTGTCTGAGTGTTTGTGCTCACAGGCAGGCTAAGATAGGGCCAGACCTTTTCAGCCTTAGTATTATTTCCTGGGTAAACACTTGGACCAGTTTCCTTTTCCATGGGGCAGAGATCAAGCCTTGTGTTCTTGTCTACAGCCAACAGGACTATTGTCTACTGCTAAAAACAGCTTTGATTTCTCTACTTAAAAAGCCATTTTGTACTATCAGTTGAGATTGACAACAATGTACTGTCAACAATACCAAATTAAATAGCCTGAAGTTCTGTTCTTCTATACTAAACACCTTAATATACAGGCTTATTTTTAGTTAAACTTGTTGAAGCTTGAGGGAAAGTATGAAAATGCAGATGGAGTGAGCCAGAAAAAGATTGATTGCCAGTGCAACAGAATTCCTTGTGCTGTGAGCTTGACAGGATGTTTTCTTAAACTGGCCGAAAATGAAAAGGCAGGTGTACCTCTGCTTATGTCTTCAGATCCCCAAACCACTAGCGGGTACCTCCTTCAGCACAGCCAGGTCCTCTCAGCTGTAGCTCAGAGGCATGCATTTAAGATCTTTACCTGAGAGTTCAGTACTTTATGGAAGGGAAGAGAAGGAGTAATTCTGATGAGATGTAGGCTTTTAGAGATGTTATTTCTATTTTGCAGTAGTTGATTTGGCCACCCAATGCATCTCTCAGTGGGAAGGCTAAAAGTGTAGTCCAGTTACTCTATCTTCTCAATTGTGATAGGGCATCTTTACAATCTATGAACTGCAGATGTAATCAAGCTCCTCTCCTTCTAAAAAAAACAGAATAATTTTCTCTTACAATTCTGTGTGACTAGGCAGAATCAGTCTCTAACTACTATTCATACATTTCTGCAATGCATTATGAAATATATGACAATAATTTGACTTTCCAAGCATGTAAAAGCATGTGTGGCATAAAACATGTAGTTTCTTTTTTGAGATGGTGGTGAAATTTATTTATTTATTTTCGTCAGCTCAGCTAAAAGAAGATTTTTGTAGCTGGGCTACATCTATTAGAGCTGCAGTTTATTAATTTGCTTACTTTCTCTGTTCTTGAAATGTGTGAGGACAAGTGAAAGGAGCAGCCTGTCTAGAGTTGCTAATTCAAGCTTTGTAGAGCTTTGTAAAAGACCTTATACTCTCTGAAGGGTATGTGATCCAGAGCCCCACCAAAAAGGAATTTTGATGACCATACACCTTGTAAATGGTAGGCTTTCCTAACAAAAGGAGAATAATATTTTTAGGTCAGCTATATGAGGGTTAATATTGGTATCCTTTCTTTGTAGAAGAACATTGCCTGCTCTGTATCAGAAGTTTTGAGAAGCAGTGATGGTCTTCGACCATTTTGTAGTGGACCACAAGGTGTTCTTTCCTCTGAATTCATTAAAGAAGCACTTAGATTAAATTGTCTACCTCTTGACTTCCTGGCTGTGTTAGATTGTCATAGCTTGGGGAATGGCAGCATTCTGTTGTTCGGGGTTTTTTTGTTGGATGACTTTTGTTGGTTGGTTGGTCTGGGTTTTTAATTTTTTTCTAAAGCTTATTACTTTCTCAAGAACTATTTAAACATTGATGTAGTCCTGTATGTAAGCTTGACTTTTTGAGTCAAGCTGTAAAACAGCGATGAGATTTTAGATACTTACATTCACAACTGCAACATTATGATAAAGCTAGAAACCTTTATCTAACAGCATAATTGCTATAACATCAACCCCACCACACTGCTGCTTTAAGATTACAGCTGCTAACACAGGTTTATTAAAGGATCACCACAGTAGTCAGCATCTGGCAAGGTCTGTTTTCTCCTTTCAAGGTTGTTATAACTAATAATTGCCAAACCATATCACTGTGTGATTGTTTATAGAGGTAATTTAGCTTTATTTCCACCCAAACCTTGTTAGGTCCTGATGCTGCCACACAAGAGCTCAAGCCAGCAAGCAAGCAGAACACTAACATCTCAGAGTATGAGATTGTCCTACCTGGTGAGTTTGTTACTTTCTGTCTTACAATTATTTTCTGTTGAATGTGAGTACACACAAATTTTCATATGAGAAGCATCTAGAATGGCAAGCTCTTGATAAAGTGAAGGTGTTCACAGTGAGCATGTGATGAGCCCAGTGAAAGGTAAGTACTTTTATGTTACTATTAACTTCTCTATTCTGGTAATAACTATTTTGCAGTGGTGAATCAGATTCCTGTTTTTATTAAAACTAAAAGTAAAACTAATTCATATATCTTCCTCCAAATCAATTGAAATGATATTTTTTGGACTAGTGAATCCACTTGGAGAGACCACATAAACTAGAGTACTTGCTGAGTAGCAGATGTTAATTTAGCAACACTACAGGAGTCAAAGTGTGGAGAACAGCAAAAATAAACCTGTTCCTAATGAAATTATAATCTTAATATGAAGTTCTCAATTACCAGATAATATTCTAGAATTAATTTCTTGGCTAGCTGAATAAACTGATTTAACTGAAGTATCTCTGGAAGACTTGCAGAGAATTGGAGTGACATTTTAAGGATGTAATTTTGCAGCATTTATGCTGCATTTTCTTCTAGCAGGAAACTTAAAGTACTGTTTCCTGTTCTGGTATCTGCACTCTTAGTACAGGGATGCCCCAAATATCAGTCTTGCTATTGGTTAATCTTCAACATCATCAGTTTTTACGTTTCATTCATTCAAGTTTTAAGATTTTATAAGGGACAGATACTGCTTTCAGCTAGTGTAATTAGTCTGACTGTGAAACCTTTGCTGCTGTGAAACCAATTCCAGTTGTAAAATTACTTTGATCATAAACAACCTCAACAAGCTGAGTTATGCTTGGCTCATTTATTCAGCCTAATTGCCCTAATAAATTAGTTTCTTCCATTGCAGTTGCTCTGCAATGGAAGACTGAGGTGTTACACTTGTAAGTTTATCTCCAGTTCAACAGATCTGAAGTATTTTGGCCAGCACTCACAATTCTGTGGACATGCTGTTCTTCAAGTTGTACATGTCTCTGCCAGACCGAGTACAGTTCACTTTGGATCTAGGTGCTGTCACTCCAGTGAGACTTCGTTGCTGCATAGGTATGACTTGCATTACTAAGTCAGTGAGCTGTACTAAAAATGCAGCAGAAGGAGCGATGGGTGCTGCTGCCTATTACCTGTTCCCAACAAACATCTCCTGTAGAAAAGCAGGTTGAGTTAACCTTCAGGCAACACAGTCAGACCCTCACACTACACTCACCACAGCTGGCTCAGTGAGAGAGGCAAGAAAGGCTCTTTTTGCAAGGTTTTATTCCAGTGAGGTCACATGAAGCTAAAGGGAACCTGGTGAGAAAGAGAACCACCATGGGTTGCAGGCAGCTTAAGAAGGGGAAGGGCTGGGGGACAGAGCTAAGGGCTGGGCAGAGGGGACTGGTCTCCAAGGGAAAGGGCGAAGCCACCAGGGGTATCCAACCAATGATGGAACAGGGAAAGGAGAAACCTGGGGAAGGCCATGGGGGAGTCTGTCTTTTCCCCCCAGAAGGACTTCTCTATGTTAGTTAGTCACTGCCATTGCCAGGGCAGAGGACTTGGGAATTGATTGAGAGCAGAGAGTTCATGGGATGCTACACTGTACTTTAAAACTTCATTTTCTCTTGGAAAGAATGTGAGCTGTGCAATACATCTATATATTTTTTTGACTACCAAATACTTCAGAATATATCTAGAATTGATGTGAGACATGCATAAATTTTATTGGAGTATTTAGATGACTAAGCACACTTCTATCATGGCATGAATGAAAAGGCCAGTTACGAAATAAAATGTCAGTATTAATGGGTAAAACATCCAAAGTGTTTTCTTATAGAAGGCTGTTTCCATGGATCAGAGAAGATATTTGCTGTTGATACCTGCTTTTTGGATGTACTTTTATGCTCAGAAACCTATAGTCATAAAAAGCAAAAAACTGACAGGTTTTCCCTACTGTATTGGAATATTTTCTCACTGTAACTCTACTGACTTGCCAGGGAGGCAAAGGTGGCCCTCAATGGGTTTGAAGAGGATATGAGGTCCACTTGAGTAACTGTAGGCATGAAAGGCCTGATTCAATAATGTTAAGATTGCAGATCTTGCTTCCCTAGCAATAGGATATACCTGTGATCTCACAGTGTAATAAGTCTGCAACTGGCTGAAATCCAAACAGTTGCAGTTACTTATGTCTTAACTCTTCTTGATGTTGATATAATTTTCTATATCCATATTAAGTTCTTAAGCTTTTACATTATTTAATCCAAACCAAAAATGTTAAGTCAGTCTTGTAAGTCTGTCTTCACTGCAGTGAAATGAATATCTGTGCTTCTGTATTAAAGCCCCCTAGGACGTTTACATACAAAATAGGAGTGTGTTATTTTTGTAAAGGGGATATGTGTTTTAACTCAGTTATTACTTACAAAAATTGCTGTGAAACTCTGATTTTGCAGGGGCTTTTTTCACCTGGAGAATATAAAGAGCACCTGTGTTCACCTGTAATCCTGTATATGTTAACACAGTCTCTGAAGCTTCTTCACCCAGAATGAGGAGAAACGTTTTTTCATTAAATGTTTTTAAACTTCTTATAGGTGTGTCTGAAAAAAATATCTCTTTGGCCAATCCAACTAAAGTTGAACTTACATGCAAATTAGATGAGAATTCCAATCTGAAAAATCCTCAGGTGACTTGGAAAAAGGGAAGTGAAACAATCAGTCACACCAGTAAAACTCAGAACAGCTGGACCATTGAGTAAGTAGTGTTCTTTATGTTGTGATTTGCAGATTCTAATGAATTACCATCTTATATGCAGTGCCTAATACTAGTAATATGTGTATTAGAAAAGGGAAAAATGCAGAGATGAATCAACATACTGAAGCAGTCAGAAAGGAGAAAGATTGAAGGTATCTTAAGCCTGGAGGATGAGCTCCTCTTTTTCCTCTAGTGCATGAAAAACAAGTTTTTTTAAAAAAATAACATAGAATAATGAAGCAGTTCCTTGAAGTCTCATAATTTTGTTCAGTAAGCGAAATAATAACCAGTCTGAGATTAAAGCATTTTAGCAATTTCTCTTTCCACTCCCTCATTTTACACATGCTCTTTTCTACCGCATTGCTAGGCTACCTCATTTCTACCTTTGCAAGGGTCTGGAAGGCATCAATGATCATTTTCTTTCCTTCATAGGTAACAAAAAGTAGAAGTGAAATTTACAGTAAAGGTTTTTTTTTGAAGGTTTTCTTAAGTCTTTCAGACCTCTACAGAAGCTCAAAAAATGTTGTAGAAGCCTTTTTACAATTGATACAATTTATTGCTGTTCTTTAGAATTAGTCCAGTTAAACATTTTAACTGATTGGTCTCCATTTGATTTCTGTACAGTTTTAAGAGAAGTAATACTTACATAAAATTTCTATTTTAAACATTTTGATGAGAATATAACTGTCACTTTCTTGATACTCCATGTACACAGACATGTAAATCTTTTTCAAAGTGACAGTAAAATGTATAGTTTGCTGGTGGAGAAGATGCTGGACTTCATTAGATAAAAATACTTTAAAACTGTTTATTTATTTTGTGTTGAAGAGATTACATAAATAGTTTGTTTTTCCTAAAGCCCTATGTAGAATATGCTTCACAGTTCACATGGAGAACCCATGTCTAATTAGACAGTAATCTGTAGATAATGGTATTTAAAGGTAAAAATGTTGTTTATGATCCAAAGTGTGCTTGTGCTTTTCTGTTTTCTTAAAAATATTATGCCATTTCTTCATTGCACTAGACCTGAATCTTAGTTTTTCAGTGGTGGTATGTTCTCTGCTCCATTACTAATTCTTACTGTTTTCTTTAGAATGATAACTAGCAGTCACTTGTGGTGGTACAAAAAGGAAACATAAAAAACCTCCAAATTAATGATTTTTTTTTTTTTTTTAAGATTGACCATCTCAGGGAGCCGTGAGCTGGGAAGTTACACTTGTATTCTGAAGGCTGAAAAAGAAGTCAGTGCTACGTTTCATTTGCATGGTAATTTAATTGATTTGTATTTATTTAAAACTTTTGTTCCAGCTGACTATTGCAAGGCTGTGTTAATATTCTTTCTGGATAGTATGGAAATTGTAATGTAATTTGATAAGTAATGGCTAATACAGTCAGGCTAAGTGAGAATAACTATTGAAGTAATTTCAGTAGCATGGATTGAAACTAAAAGCCTTTAAAAAAAATTCTAATAACCAAAAGAGCATACAAGTCTGTTTTTTACCCTTCTTGACTAAGTGATTTCCCCTTCCCTCTCCATCTCTGAAACAGGTGTGAGTACACTTCACTTTCTGGGGAATGGGATTAAAGGATGGTGTCTTGGATAAATTTTTTCAAAAAGCAGAGCCAATAATTTGAAATTTGAGTCTGAGGTTAGGTGTTAAAAGTGAAGTAGTGATTGGTAAAATGGAGGCAGGATTTTTAAAATTTTGTTGGTGTTTCTGAAACAACATTATTGCTTTAGTGCTTATTTTATTCTGTAATGGTATAAGAATAGTACTTAGATGAACAATTAGTGTGCTTCATTGTGCAGTATGAGTGCCCTTTCTTCTGTTTTGTTCTCTTCTCCAATAATGTTACCTGGAAGTAGGAGGTAGGTGAAATTCAGATCCATGGAAGATATGTGGAAATGATAATACAAGTTGGTGAACTGATGAATATCTCTAGTGGGAGTTACTCCTTTCTCTGTTCCTACCATCCGAATTTTGCAAAGAGGAAGGCATGCATTTCATTTGTGAAGATAGATATAGAAGAGATTTTCCCTAAACACAGGCTCTGAGAAAACCTAACTATTCAAATCATTACCCTAACCGTAGCTAAATTAAGCAGTGGGGCTCTCTAATTCTTAAGCTGCCAAGGTGCCTTTGTTCAGTGGGATATCCAGTAATAAGACTTGAGGAAACTTGCAGGGGTTCAAATATCAAATGTTGATGCCTGCTTTCAGACCTTCAGTGCTGAATAAAGACAAAGTTGTAGCTTACTTGGGCCTTTTAATCTCTAAAAAACAATTATGTATTTTTCTTGTCAGCATATGGGTAAAGTTTAGTCAAATAGCTAACCCAGGTTGGTGCAGATGGAAAAAAATCCAAGGAGATCTTTTTTTAAAGTACACAATAACTATTACAGTAAGGGCAGGAATGACTCAATAGGAAAGTCATATTTTCCAGAACAGTGGATAGGATGGTTGATCTATTATAGGAAGATCAGAGAACTGCTGCATGATGATTGAATGCTGCCACTTCTGATGCCATAAAAAGTACTGGCTTGATGCTTTTTAAGATTAATGCAAGAGTGAAGGAAATGGGAAAGAGAAGTCCTTGAATCTTCCAGTCAGTAATGCAGGGAGAACAATTTTCAAACTGAAAGATGAGTAATGTGTTGGTATAGACTCAGTGGCTTAAGTCATCACTGCTGTAGCTAACTGTAATACCTTTTCCACAAGGCAGTTCTGAATTATTGCATGTGTTACCTCTCCACTTGTTCCCCCCTGATTCCTGGCCTGATCTTGAGGAGTCATGTTTTTACTCAGGTTTGCAGAAAACACAGATATTTACAGGTTCAAGTTAATAAACACAGAAGACAATAGTAGGTGTTATAAAATGTTGTGAAGTGCTGCTAGCCTCTAAAAGTGTAGAATAGATTAATTTCTTTGCCCTTTGTTGAGGGACCTTTAAGCAGCAGTTAAGGTATGTGCACCATGAAATTGCTCTGGTTTTTAAAGCTGTGTGGAAATCTGACTGGTGTAAATGCTGGTGCTGACACCTGTCTGTTTCTTCAGAAGTTGGCTTTGTGCAGCAGAAGTATTTTGTCATCAAATTTGGTGATCCACTTGCAGAAGTACCTGTGATAAGCCTTGCAGGCATTCAAGGATTAGCTGTTACAGAGCCAGATCCTAGAGCTTGTAATGGATATTCATATCCTTAATCATGGCTGACGTGGTCACATGTATTACTGACATGCTTATAGCTGAGCTCTGTCACTCACTAGTGTGGCTAAGTATCTTTGACTTCCACATAAACTTGTTGTGCTGGGTGTACAGGGCTTTTTTATCCTAACCTGCTGGTGTTTCTTCTGCTCTAAATTGCAAGGGAGATTGCAGCAGTAATTAGTGAGGTCATCCCTTTTAGTGGCAGCAGAGAAGATACACAGCCAGTACTCTTTAAAAGGATAGTGTTTAATGATTAAAATATATACATTGAGAGAACTTCAGTAGTAGTCTTGATATGTGGTGCTGCAAATTCTGAGACTGAAAACAGTGTTCTTATTAATAAATTGGTTTCATATATATTTCTGTGTAGGAAACTTAAGTTTGAATACACATGAGAAGTAGACTTTTTTGGGAGAAAAAATAATTTGTGCTCACCAGTCAGGAAGGGGTGAGAACAAGAACAATCTTAGCTTGTATCAAATTGTTCATCATAACTACTGAAAGTAGATACTTGGCCTACTTAGTCTAGTGTGATCAGTAAAATCTAAAGTATGTACTAGATCTGTACTTAAAAAGTAGAGCAATGAAATTTGAAGTAAAATTTAAAATTAGTGGATCTGAGGAAGACTTATTGGTAAACATCCAAATAAAGAGGGAAAGAAAGGGGAAATACATACTTCAACATAATGCATTTGCTAAGCTCTAGCAGTATTTATAGGATAGTCTCAATATATTCAGTAAGCTTTCTAAGTACTACATACTTTTGGAAGTTTGTGGGGCACAAGCAGTTACCAGTAGCTCTAAAGTTAGTCTGATTTCTTGTTGACTGTATTCTGTCCTCAGCAAGACTGGACCAAAAGTCTTTTTTTATTGGCATGTACCCAAAAGTCATTGCTTCAGCTCAGAAATGTTTAACTACAAATCTCTATCAGTCTGCAGTTTTTTCTCAGTTACAGAATCATTCTCTGTACATGTCAGATACCATTATATAGGCACATTGTGACTGAAATAGACTCTAGCAGTTTCTGCAGATGGAGTGAAATTGCAGGAAAATTATGTTTGTTTCTACTGTACTAGAACTGAAGCATGTAGCTGGCAGCTGCCAAGGGAAAAAGGAAATGGGCAAGGGTAGAAATCACAGTCTGATTTTTCTTTCACTTGACATTTGGTATTAATTGGCAACTTCCAAGATCACGCAGCAGCTGAAAACAGGATTCCACTAGTCTTCTGCACAGATTATATATCTGAAATAGCTGCCCAAAATAACTCCTCATGTCATAAATGATAGAATCATGAGGATTTTAAATAGAAAAAGTGAATGGAGTACTATAAATGAATACCCAAATATCTTCTTTGTAACACTAATGAAAACCTTTGTTTTTCATTTGATGTTTTTTTTTCTCCTTGTTCTTAGTACCAATCATTGATGGAAGAGAAAAACCCATAATCTCTTATGAAGGAGATATAGCTGTAATGGTTTGTACAACTGTGTATAATCCCAAGGCCTGGGCCTGGTATATGACCAATGGAACTGAGCTGGTAAGATCTCCCTCTGTTGGGCAAGCAAAACAGTATGACAAAAAAAAAAGTATGTATACTTTGTACTTCACTACAAGCTCTACAAATTCTGTTTCCATTAACTTTAGCAGAAATCTTTATGGAAATGGAAAAAATATCTGTAGTATTTACAATATTCATTGTTATAGGGATGTAGTTTTTTGATCTGGTTTGTATGTTTCTTTCTCAAAAAGGCCCTACCATACTCTGAAATAAGGTGAGTCTTGAGAGACTTGTTTTTACTTTATTTATACTGGTTATACTACTCAGATCTTCCTACTGGATACAAAAATAATTGTACAGCAGGACATGCTTTCACCTCAAAGATGTTGTAGGACCCTTTACTTCTTCCAGATACAAGTAATTCTGTTTCTTAGCCTTATGACCTATCTAGAAAGCACAGCTTCCTAAAACACTTTCTTTTAACCCTCTTCTGAGGCCCACACTGTCAGCTGAGAGAAAGTAAAGAGATCTGTCTCTTTATATGGCTGGAGACCAGTACTGACTTTAAGAGTATCAGTGTATTTCCCAGTGAAGGAGAGCTCCCTCTTCCACTTCCTTGAAAGTGTGTGTTTTATGCTATGGTGAAACTCGTGCATTAGTTCTAGCAGCCAAGGATGCTTTTGTCATTGAAGAGTTGATATCATCAAAGGTACATTTTGTCCAGTCTTAAATAAAATAAAACAGGTCAGACAGTTTGCCCACTGAAACTTCCAGTGAGTTCAGAAGGAATTAGGATGTCCAGCTAAAATAAGCCCTTCCCTTTAATGTGGGGTTACTTTGCTTCATGAATGCCTTTTGTTCCTAATTCATTGTACATATCTATACAGAACTGAATGTTGATGTGATACTGTTTGATTAAATACCCCCTCATTACATTATTAAGACTTGCAATATATTTTTTCTAGGTTTCCATTGATAAGATGTTACCTGTGGACAAGTTTCGAATTAAGAGTCCATCTGTTAGTATAAACCGTTTGGAGGTAGTCAAGCTCACCAGGGAAGATTGTGGTGTATATTGGTGTGAAGCTGCTTTTGAATTAGGGCCCAGTAAATCAAGGTTTGAACTTAGAGTTCTGTCCATCGCAGCACCTCTCAAGCCCTTTGTAGCAGTTGTGGCTGAAGTTGCTATTCTTTTAACTACTATTGTCCTCTATGAGGTGTATTCGAAAAGGAAAGCAAAAGGTAAGTTTTGGTGAGGGGTTTTTGGTTGGTTGGTTTGGGTTTTTTAATTAATTTCTAGCTTTCTGTTGAAACTACAGTCAAAGGTGGAAAAGACCTAAAGTGCAGCATATATGAAGTTGAGTCATTTTCACATCTGTATTTCTGATAAAATTCTTTGATCTAAAGCACTGCTATGAAAAGAGCTTTCTCTAAGCAATACTTATCCATAACAGTTTTGATAGAGTCCTGGGGTTTTTTTCCCCCTTACAATACAAGTGAATTTTGAGGCTCTAATTTTTGGGGGAATGCTTAGGAATGGAAGCAATTCTTGGTAGCCTTGATGGAAGAATTTTCTTTAAAGACATTCTGTAAGAAGGAGAAATGCATTTGTCTAGTAAAGACATAAATGAATGTTATTTTGAAATGCAGAAATATATAAACTTCTATATAAGATGATTTGCATTAAAATCAAATTAATAAAACCTTATCAAAATAAGCTTTTTCACCACTTTGGAGGTAATTCCTTTGAATAGATGTACAAGGTGATCTGAAATACATATTTAAGTAAACTAACAAAATAAATAACATTTTGTTTTGATTAAACAATTACTAAATGTATTAAACAATAAATTTTCTATTGTTTATTAAATGGATACTTCTATATAGTACTTCTTTTGTTCTGCAGGAGATGAAAAACAGTTTGACCAAACTGAGAAACTGTAAGCAAAAAAGTTCCTATACTCTAGTTCAATATTTGTTCTTACGTGTATTTGCATTGTACAAAATTATACCTTGTTTTTGATCCCATTGGCAAGGGGGATGGTGGTCAATGTGAAAGAAGGGTTTATTCTTTTCCTTAAGAATTTCTAATTTCAGAGTGAGCAGAACACTATTTTCTAAATGGAAAGTGATTTTGAAATTGCAGTATCTTTTTTTGGTGGTGTTTGTTTGTTTTGTATCAGTTTTGCATTTTTATTCTTTTATTTTGTGAGAACACCATATGTCCTCATTATAAGCTCATTCTAGAAGACTATAACTGCATGGAAATAACTTCCAGGTGAAAGTGTAACAGAAGTGTCTCTGCTTTGTGGGTATTTTTGTTTTGTTTTTTTTTTCCAAAGTGTATTTGGCCACATTAACATGCATTTCTCCTCTGTGCATGTGGTCAAAGCCTTAACTCTCATATCTAAGCCTGTAGTTGCTGGGGTGTTGGGAGCTGGCATTGTTGGCTGTTTTGGGTGCAAATGCCAACCTCTCAGGAGATTTCGCACTGTGCTGGTAGCTTGGGCTTCCTGTGCTGTGCTGCTGTAACCAAAGGAGCAGGTGTAGGCACTTCATGCTGTTCTGCTGTTCCAGGGTCTGTGCTCCCATGCTGGCTCCCCTGCCCTTAGGATCTTACATTTCTTCAGGCTTGCTTGCTAAAGTATGCTATACTTGTCTCTCTGCCCATCCCTTGAAGCCGGGTTCCCTTATCTAGCCTGTTTATCTCTTAAAACAAGAGGAAAGTTGCCTAACAGGTCATTTAGATGGGTCCAGTCTACTCTAGTTTTTGTCATCTTGATCCCTTCTCTCCTGCTGTGTTTGTTTGCCTTTTTCTTCTGATCCTCTCTTCTCTTTCCCTCTTAGATTTTTTTTCCTGCAATGATCTTTGTATTGTCCTGTATTGTATTCACTTTCTTATTCCTTTTTTCAGTGCTGAAAATGTATTTTGGTGCTTAAAGCTTTTACTCAGTTACAGTATAAAGTGGGAGTATATCTTGGGAATGTAGTATTCTATTACGCTGCTGAATGTTTGGGGATATGTCTTGAGTTGAAAATTGATAAATTGTCTTTATTGTGCAGCCTGCTTCTCATAAACATGTTGAAAACACTAGGATAGTAACACAGAATAGTTCACTAAAATACTGGTTTTGCCCATGGGGGATGTGGTTCTGTACAGCTGCTTAATCTTTGTGTAATTCTTATATACATACATCCAAGGAAGATTTAATTAACTATGTACTTCCCTGATTCAAGAACTGAAAGTTATTTCAACTATTGGCTGTTTAGAAGATGGATTTGTGTACCGGAGAGTGGCTCCAAAGGAAAATGTCTGGTCTGTTATGTCAGGGGATGACTAATACAGCTGTATTTGGTTGATGAGTCTATAATTAAATGTCACATCCAGCAGTGTATTTAGGTGGTAGCCTAGTGAATCACAAACTTTTTTTTAGCAAGAGAACTTTCTATTCAAGTGTTTTTTGTGATGCAGAGCATAATAGCTAGTTGCAGTTATTCAGAAGGAAACTGGGAATGATTGTCTTACTATTCAGCTTTGGAATTTACCCTTTTGTTCTTGTGTAGGTCAGAAGACAACGTAACTGGGACACGCAAGTAGTTCTATGCAGAGGGGGAAGGTTCCTTTAGAGGTGAGTAAGAGATGAGAGACCAGAGTTTCCTTTTCTCTTGAGCAGCCTAATACTAGGACAAAGAAGTCCGCTTTGCCAACCCAATCCTTTGTTTTAATGTGCGAGCAAAACAGTAATTAAAAAATTGTTTAGGTCAAGTAAGATACAGTTGAACAAGAAATCAAGTTCAAATAATTTTAACTCAATTGTGTTGTTATTGTGATTTACTAGTTCTGTTAATCCATGTAGTCTTTAAATTGGGACCCAGGTTAACCTGCTTGACCTGCTTGGTCATGAAAGAATCCAGTGAATGCCAGGGTAGATGCTGAAATGCATAAGAGGTGCTGCTGTGTTCAAAAACCCACTCTTTTCATCGGTATTTTGGGTGTCAAATGAGTTTATGAAGGAAGGATCCTCTGTAATAGCACACTGGGAATTTGAAAGTTCTGGAGAGATGTAGAGGAGTCTGGGAAAGAAGATTGGGCTTAATAGACAGCGATTTGAAAGGATTAGCTGTAGAATGAGGAAGCAGAATATGTGTATGTTGCATCACCCTCGTTGCTGGTGGCAGGAGCAAACCTGGAAAGGGATGAGGTATGAGCGTGGTAGTAAATAAAATAGGAACAGGTATGACCGGAGTGCTTGAAAATCGTAGTTTAATAAAGGAAAATTAAAAGGTGTGCTAACAATAAATGCTCAATAAAAACATGGGCTATACACTGTATGGAGCTACTCCAGAAGAACATAAAATGAGATAAGCACAAATACAGAGGGCAGGGAACAAATGCAGTGAACAAAGAGAAGCAGAAGCCATACCTTACATAGAACACAAGACTAATCAGAAAGCAAGGTTCATAACATAACCTTATATGGAACAATTTAGTCTGCATAACTGCTCCCATCATTCCTTCTCACCCTAATTTGTGGGGAATGCCCAGAGCACGGCCCTGGTAGGCTCACATGTGTAGTAAAGCTGTATCATGAATTTCCTGATTTCCTGATTCTCTACCCTCTTCACAGTCTAATTATAGGCTGTTTCTACTTATGCCATCTGGAAATGCTTGTCAGAGCACTCTGTCAGTTGAGGACCAATCCTACATACTCTTGCTTCTATTCTGCATCTGGCACCTCAACCTCTGATCTGTAGAAGAGAGGTGTGAATGACTTAGCATTCATGTGGCTGCTGGTTCATCCTCACCACAAGTCTTCTACCTAAGTAAAGACTGTTGCCATACCCTTTGTTTTAAAGAACAGAAGGAAACATGTCAGGTAGAGTTCACATAAAAAGAGTAACAACTCAGAAAATGATCCAGAACAAATACTTTCCAAGATTATGTGGTCTCTATTCCTCCTAGGTTTAACCCCAGCTAGCAACTCAGCCCAATGCAGCCATTTGATTTTACTCTCTGGTGGGACTGGGGAGAGAATCAGATGAGTGAAAATGGGTGAGCTTAGGGGCTGAGATACAGACAGCTGGACAGAAGAAAGCAGAAGCTGAACAGAAGCAAAGGAAAGAACTCATTCATTCTTTCTTACAGGCAAGCAGTCATTCAGCTGTCTCCAGGAAAAAATGGCTTCATCATGTTCCAACTGTTTGGGTTAATCAGGAAAACAAATGCTGTGACTCAGAATATGTGCTCCTTCCATATTTCTCCTTCTTCCCCCATATTTACATGCTGAGCATGATGCCCTATGGGATGGAGAATCCCAGTGATCAGCTGGGGGCAGGTGTTCTGCCTGTGTCACTTCCCAGGTCCTTGATTCCCCCAGCCTCCTTGCTGGCAAGGGAGAGGACAAGGCCTTGTGATAGTGTAAGCACTTCAGAGCAATACCTGAAACATTACTGTGCTATCAACACTCTTTCCAACACAGATCCAAACCTAGTATTGTACCATATGCTGTGAAATAAATTATTCTAGTCAAAACCAGCACACAAGGATTTCTCTTAGGTTTGATTTGACATTTAATTCTTACAAAGTTCTTTTGACATCTAGCACTGAGTATATAAATAAGGACTTTTCTTACAGAATCACCTGCTTTGTCTTCATATGCAGTGTCAAAAGTTTTAATGTCTTAACATGATAAATGCCAGTTGCTCTCTATAGTTTCCTGAAAATAGGTTGTAGCAAAGTGGGGATCAGTCTCTTCATCCAAGTACCAAGTATCAAGTTGTAGTACAGGAGGAAATACCAAGTTGTATCAGGGGAGGTTTAGTTTAGTTTGGATATTAGTAAAACTTTATTCACTGACAGAGTGGTCAGGCACCAGAACTATTTGCCCAGGGAAGTGGAAATCTTCAACCCTGGGCCTGCTCAAAAGGTGCTGAGTTAATGGTTCGGCTTGCTGGTCTTTTGTAACCTAAAGAATTCTATGATTTTATTTGCAAAGTGGACCATTAAAAAAAATTGATATATTGATTAGAATGAAGTTTATTTTCAAACGAATATGGGAAAATACGAAGCAGCAAAATAGCAGAACTTGTATTATAATGAAATGTGTTTATTCTTTTTTATTGCAGGAGATTTAAGACAGTAGAAGTGGAAATCATCACAAAGCTATAGAAGATGTATGCAGCTACTTAAACATTCACTATGTTTTGAAATAAAGTCCTCTACATTTGAGAAATAAGATGCTTTTAAAATAGCTCTGAAACTACTCATTTTATATGGATGATAATAGGATATATTGTACTTAGATGTTTATCTGTAACATTTTACTCCTAGGAGGGTGTATTTTATGTGATGTGATTAGGCTTACTTTTGGTTTATGATTGTTCTGTTGGATTTTTATCTCCTAAATTGGAACTAGTGTTGTATTCACTGAAAAAATGGTTAATGTAGAGTGGGCATTATTATCTGAGTGTTATAAAACCTGATACATACAATTGATAAGTATTTTCACCAAAGAAAATGCGTTTTACTAGCTGTTGAAGCAAATGTAATGCAAATGCTTTTACCAAAGAAATGGTGAAAGGGAGATCTTTATCAGGGCTTAAATGAAACATTAAGAGTTGTGATTTATTCTGAATAGTAACTTGTGTTAATTCTAACTTTTCTTAGCTTCAGTCTCAGTTCAACTATACTGTAGTCCTTAGCAGGCTAAACATTAAGCTACCATACAGCTCAGATATTTCAGAGTAGATGAAAGAAGTATTGGGGATACAGTACCTTCTCAGACTAAAACTGCAATAATTCCTTCTGCTTGAAAAAATTACTGCACTCTCTGGGGCTGCAAAACCAGGTTATTATAATTTATATGGAGTGCTAAATTTTCAGGAATATACCTATATATGCTTCTCATCATACATACTGTCTCGCTGGTACTTCTGCTTCTTTCAACAAACTGTTTTTTCTTAAACTCCTTGCAAACCACACAGTGGATCTTGAGCAGCTAAAATTTTCAGGACAATAGGATGAAACAGCATTGAACACCACCACTACTCTTACACAAAAAACTTAACACTGCTGTAAATGACTTAGAGAATTGCTTTTAAAGAGTGAGTTGCCATAATAGTGTTTAGTTACATTATGCATTCAGCAATTGAAATGTTTAGCTAATAAGAAAACGTTGGTTTCATCAGTTGCCTTTGCTTGAAATAATTAAAGCATCAATTTTGAGAGGAAGAAATAAAATCTTCAGAAAAATACCTTTTCTCCATAAAAAATGTAAGGAAAATGGCAGCATTTGCAGACTCCATTAGAAAGTGAAAGAAGAAAAAAAATACACAGAACTTCTTTGTACTGGTCATTTTTCTTTTGAACATAAAGGAAGGTAAAAAAAACCAGATAAAACAGATTGAATTCCCTTCCTTAATTTTTTTTTCTACTTTACTCTTCTTATGGGTTTGAAAAATACCAGAAATCCTAGCCTTAGCTGTTTTGTTGGAAATGGGAGATAAAATCCAGTCAGACCTATGTATTTTTGGTTTTCATAATTCGTTTTCTAGTCTGAAGAACTACAAGTCAAGGTCCAAATAAGACACAATGAGAAATACAAAAGCACTGGGTGATTGACTGCAAGGAGTGAACACTGATACAGGTTCCCGTTGCTTAGATATTGTTTATTGTATTTTTGCCTTGGAGTTTCTATGCAGTATTAAAACCAGAATGCATCTACAGTTTCTTATATTAATTTCTCATTTATATAATTGATGCTTTTATTGTAGCAAGTAAATGTGGGCCGTTTCAAAATGTTTACTTCTGTAAATGTTTGTAAATTGTTTGGCACATTTTAGAGTTTGTAGTAATTTGCTTCATGTAGGCAGTTAGATAGTAAAAAAGGAAGTCTTACTTAGAGAACTAAGAATTACATTCTGAATAAAGCAGCATTAATATATTTTGCAAAGGAAATGAGGCTAGATACTGTCTGGGAAAAAACCTGCCAGTAAGAAATGGTAATAATCTTTCTGCCTTCACACAGCATTGCTACCTGGTCTTGCAGTTGGGCTGTAAAGTCTTGGCTAACATAGGCAAGTTATACAGACAGATAGTTTTTTGGCATTAGCAGGGAAAACCTGGATTTTGCATGGACTTTAGAAACAGCACATCTTAGATCTTTTAGGACTATATTAGCTTGTTCAGAGTGGCTGCTGAAACTATAGCTTTGTCTTGACCTAGCTGTAGCATGTTCTGCTTACTTTTTCTGAGGGTTTGGTGTTTATTTTTAGGTTGGTGAGTAGGTTTTTGTCATTATAATGAGGTTTTATTCTGTGCACGTTCTCCTAGGTTAAACCCATTTGGGCTTGTCCTATGGAGGGGAATAACAAATAATATTTAAATGGTAACTATTAAGTAATTGACATAATTAATGGTCAACTTCAAAGGCATAAATTCTGCTTTTCTTGCTCCAAGTACCACAAGAAACTCTGGAAGTTGTGAAATTTATCTTTTGAGAAGTATGTGTTGTGTATGTTCAAAATATTCCCATTGCAGTTGCTTTATGATCTTAGCATTGAATAGAACAAAACTTTTGACTTTAAAAAATCTTAAAA